TCTCGGTTGCATGACTGATAATGGATCTGAAGCAAGGTCAATCAGCGCCATGGCATATGGAGATTTACAGTCTTTGAGCTTGTCCATGAGCCCTGGCTCGCAATCAAGCTGCATCACTGGCTCGCAGCAAGTTTCGCCCGCTGTCAATGACTGTGTAGCGGCCGTGGAAACCAAGAAAAGAGGTCAAGAGAAGGTGGACCAGAAGCAAATTGTTTATAGAAAATCCATTGATACATTTGGGCAAAGAACATCTCAGTACAGAGGTGTTACAAGGTAAGTTTTCTTCCCCGTCTGTATTATTCTAAAAAAAAGCTTCCGTTTTTCTGGGTTTTTCACTTAAAAAAGAAATATTAACTGTTTTGTTTTCTTCAAGCGTCTAACCTGTTATGATCTTTGTTAACCAGACATAGATGGACCGGAAGATATGAAGCTCATCTTTGGGATAATAGCTGCAAAAAGGAAGGTCAAAGCAGGAAGGGGAGACAAGGTTAGGGCCCTAAACATGGAGTCCAATCTTACACAATCAAATAGCTCTGTCATTCTTTCTTCTTCACCCCGTTCCTGCTATATTTCTGACATTTCAAAGTTTTTGTCTTTGTTTTTATTTTGTTTTTTTTTTTTTGGTTGGGGTTTGGTGGGGATGCTATTCATATCAAAATGATGAATTTCAGTTTATCTGGGTAAGCCTCTCTTTTCTTGTTTTCAGTACAGTAATGATCAAGTAATTTATGTAATTGTAATTGTTCATCAAGTCATTCCAAGAGTTTGATTTCAGGGGGTTATGATCTGGAAGAAAAAGCTGCAAGAGCTTATGATTTAGCTGCACTCAAGTATTGGGGACCCTCCACTCATATTAATTTCCCAGTAACGATTTCTTATCCTCTTTACAGATCCTACTCTTAAATTATTTTTCTTTTCATTAATTTTAATTGATATTATATCCTATTGGCAGCTGGAGAACTACCAAAAGGAGATTGAAGAAATGAAGAACATGACTAGACAGGAATACGTTGCACATTTGAGGAGGTTGGTAACTTTTTTCTCTATTCATTTCCTCATTATGCTTCATGATGAAAAAATTTTTAATGTACTGAATTTTATGTGTACAAACAGGAAAAGTAGTGGATTCTCAAGAGGGGCTTCTATGTACAGAGGAGTAACAAGGTCTAAGCAATTAGCTCATTCTTATATGAAATGATGCAAGATTCAAAATGGGTAATCTTCATTTTACAGTAATAACTAATAAAATCTCTGTTTTCATCTTCATTTTTCTACAGACATCACCAGCATGGAAGATGGCAAGCTCGGATAGGCAGAGTTGCAGGGAACAAAGACCTTTATCTTGGGACATTCAGTGAGTTCTTTAATCTTTATGACCGGAATAGATATGTGTTTAATTATAATTGGATAACACTTTCATTCCTTTTTTGGGTATTTAAATTACTAACTGGGTATCTTGAAATATCTGCTATGACCTTAAAAGGGTAAATTTTTAATGGCATTGGTTGGTTATATGAATTCTGCCCAACGACTGGTCATTTTTACATAAGGCTGTTGATGAGGCATGAGGAGCCAGCCACTTTGAATTTGTACAGAGAGACTGATAGTCTTAGACCTCACCTTTTTAAGACTACTCACAAAAAGAAAAGAAAAAAAGAACAAGTAGAAAAAGGCTTTTATAAGGCTGTTCTTCACATGGAAAAACACACAAAAAAAATCTTGAATCTAATCGTCACTAACTTCCACTATGCCCTTTGTTATGATAATGAGTGGTCTTTAGCTGCCACTTCACTAATTTACAATAAAATTGCAGGCACACAAGAGGAGGCGGCTGAAGCATATGACATTGCAGCCATAAAATTTCGCGGTGTGAATGCAGTAACGAACTTTGACATAACACGATATGATG